TGCTCTCTTTATTCTCCTGTCTCCATTTACTGAACTCCTTGCTCAAAGACGTGTACACATCCAAGTTTCTGTATTCCTTCGATTGCACGCTTTTATTACTAAGACCGCCCGACGCACTCTTCATAGTGTCCAGTATTACGGTCGGATTGTCTTTAATGAATTTAGTGACCTCCATCAATGGCGTGGATATCGTGACATCGATCTCTTTCTTAGTCTTCTGAAACACGGTGCGCTTGATCCGCAGGAAGGCGCCAGTCGATCCCTCGAAGCTGTTGATGTTTGTCACAGTTGTCCACTGAATGTCCTTCAAGAATGACTTTATGTAATCGCTATCTTCCGAGGTTTTGAGGTGTTCCAAGATCATCAGGCCTTTCGGATCGGTCATCGGGTAACGGTAATAATACATCCCGTCGTCCACGTCTTCCATGTAGCGGGTGGCGATGAAACTTAGAAAATCCCGTTTGGCGTGGAACTTCCGGATGGCCGATTCGGACGGCAGGCAGCAAAGACCGACGTATACGGAGCTGGCCTTAGGGCACTCCGTGTCGAGCTCGATGGTATCGCTGATCGTGCGGCCTAGCGCTGCGTGGTACGTCAACGCGTACGGTCGCAGCGGGAAGTGAATGAAATCTTTATTCTTCGTCTTGGCTTTCTGTTCGAGCCAGTTGCGATAAGCTGGTAAAATTTGATAAAAATTCAGTTTGCAACGTTCGATTTTCTGTGTTTTACCGTTCGCGTAACGGACGGTCAACGAATCCAATTTCGTACCCTTGCAGTTCATGTTCAGCAGCTCGACAATGTGGTGCACACCTGCAGCGGTGATGTACACGTATTTGTAACCTTTCACCAGTAATAGCCCCGGGAAGAATTTATTCTCATTCTTGTCGGTCACGTCGAAGGGCACGCCCGGAAACGGTTCCACGGAATATTCCCCCGGCTTCAGGGATTTCATGAAACGATACATACGTTTCGTGATGGTGCGGTGGAAGTATGCCATGTAGGTAGACCGAAAGTCCTCGGTGATCGCAGGATTGTACTTGTTCGGGAACAGACGGTACAAAAAATATCGTAAATTGAAATGGAACGGGGCATCCCCTCTAGAACTGTAACTGGCGAGCATGTCACGGTAACGCGACAGTTTGTCCAAGAACTGGCTCTCGGTGGAGCGTATGTTCGTGGTCAGCTCGTATATCGTCTGATGACTGAATATCTCGAGGATGTCGAAGTTGCTCCTGCCGTGTATGGCTGATCTGTTTATGGCGCCTAGCTGCAACTTATTGCCGGCGAAGATCAACGTCATGTCATTCTTCAGCGACACGATATACAGTAATAACAACATCAGCGGCGAAGCGATAGTGTATGCATCGAGGATGATCACTTTGACCGAGTGACGTACGTGAACGTACTTTTGCGCGTACGTTAGCAACAAGAAGAGTACGTCGATGTTGTTCAGGCCACCCACTTTGAACATGTGTATCGCCTCGTGATAACGTAACTTAAAATTTCGCATGTTGTAGGACACGTAAGTGTACGAGTCGATCTGCCTTAACGAAAGTTCACTCGACTGGTCCTTCCTGAATACGGCGAATTGCAACGAGTCGGCATATTTCAACGCCAATTTGGATAGCAGGTAACTTTTACCAGTGCCGCTCGGCGCGTCGATCAGGATCACTTTGTTCGTTCCATTGTCGATCGAACTGTGCACTTGGTGGAACACTAACTTCTGTGCAACCGACAAGGATTTGCCATCGTTATTGCAGACCTTACAATTATTAGAATCGCCTATCCCATCCGTGATCACCAGTGAGTTCACTTTGTCAACCAAGTCGTCCATTTTGGCGCCATCTGTCGCGTGAACAAACAAGCCGAAATAGAACAATCATAAGCGTTGCAACAATTAAAGCGCGAAGAAGGAAAACTATTGTCACAGACGTGGCCCGTCCAATTTATCGTGGATATTTACCTCCGTGGATACCGGTTATTGTCATCGCGCCTCTTTTTTCCCTTTTTTTCTTGATCTCTTATCCGAAAGCTTTCAGCTGTACAGCAGATTTTTTAATCAAGCGATTCAAGGATCTATAAACAGATAAACGTAACAATTAAAATGTCGCTTTATTACGTTGCGTTTATCTATATTGTATTAGAGGCGACTAAGGCACACCCTGATGATTAATACGATGAAGGTGTAGCAGTGATTACAAATTTATTGATAATTCTTCTTTACTTGGGCTAAGAAACAGTAATTTTTGAAATGTCTGATCGATTAGATGGATAAATTAGATGGAATGTAAGACATTTCGATATGTCCATTGATTTGGTAAATTATCCGACACGTGTTACAATTTACAACTTTGCACGTGATATTAATTCTATTATGCATTTCATTTTCTAAAATTCCAGGAGAGTACATTTCTTTAGTTTTGAAATAGTCGATTACGATTTCAATGTTATATTTAATATTTCCATAAAAGCAAC